GTCTAATTTAAAACCATTGGTACGAGTTCGCTCCTGGTTGGATAGTTTGAGTACCTTTGTGAAGTGGTGAGGTGTGAGGTAGTGATATAGTGAGGTGTGAGGTAGTGATATGGTGAGGTGTGAGGTAGTGATATAGTGAGGTGTGAGGGAGTATCTGCCTCCAGCCACCGACAACACCCACCTCAAACACCGGCCACTACCCGGGGACCTGACGAAGTCCCTTAAAATAACAAGGCAATGTCCTGGGTGAACTGCCTCCCGTCCTGCTTGCTTTCCTACCTTCCTATACCTGCTTGCCTTCCTTCCTGTCTGCCTTCCTTTCTGCCTTCCTACCTGCCTTCCTACCTTCTTGCCTGTCTTCTTTCCTTCCTTCTTGCCTGCCTGCCTTCCTTCCTTCCTTCCTTCCTTCCTTCCTTCCTTCCTTCCTTCCTTCCTTCCTTCCTTCCTTCCTGCCTCCCCGTCAACCTGCTTGTCTGCCTCGCTCCCCTCCCTCACTTTGTCTGTTTGTCTCATTGTTTACCCTTCCCGTGTCCCTCTCCCCCCCCTCCTTCTCTCATCTGTCTGCTTGCCATCCTCACATTTCTCCTTACCCCTTTCCCTCTACCTGCACCGTCCCTCCTTCACACCTCCTCGCCTCCTCCCTCCCTCCCTCTCTCCCTGCTCACCTGACTGTCATTCAGCCACCCAGGTATTCGCCTGCTATTCTTGCATCTAACACACACACACACACACACACACACACACACACACACACACACACACACACACACACACACACATCTGAGGTACCGTATATCACTGCCAAACAAAAAGAATCAATATTGATCATTTGTAGTCATTGCTTGGGCCTTAATGATGATGGCACTTACTGAAGAGGCGTAGGGCCCCCTCCTACCCTCTTCCTCCTCCCTCCCCCCACCTCCCTTCCTCCTCCTGCCCACATCTCTTCATTAGTGATGTCATCGTCTATTACGCCCGACTCCAGCGACGTTATTAGTGTTGCAGGCAGGTCCTCGTGTCTTGTAGATCTTCCATTCCCTCCTCCTCTTCTCCTTCCCTTCCCCTTCCTTCCCCCTCTTCCCCTCTTCCCTCCACCTCCCCTTCCTCCACTCCCTTCCTCCTCCTTCCACCTCCTCCTCCTCCTCACCCTCCTCCACCTACCCCTCCTCCCTCCACATACCCCCTCCTCCCTACCCCCCTCCACCCCTACCCTCCTACCCCCTCCTCCTCTCACAAAACACATAAATTGAGTTTATTTTCCTTACACAGTCTTGTCTCCTAGGTCGGGCTCACAACACACACACACACACACACACACACACACACACACACACACACACACACACACACACACACACACACACCAGAATGTTACATATTAGATTAGTTTGAACTTAGTAAAAGAGTCTTCAGGTGAAATAATCTCTAGTAGGGGTTAATCATCAGGTGATACGAAGATCTCTCTCCTTGAATACAACACCTTTCATCCTTCTTAACCAACCAACACACAAGACACTGATATCCTTCACCACCTGTCTTGGTTACCCTTTGTTCCTTCTCTCCACCTTTAACTAACTCATTTGTTCCTCTCCACCTGTAACTCCTTTGTTCCCTCCACCTGTAACTCTTGTTCCCTCCACCTGTAACAGTAACTCTTGTTCCTCCACCTGTAACAGTAACTCTTTGTTCCCTCCACCTGTAACAGTAACTTTTTTGTTCCTCCACCTGTAACTCTTGTTCCTCCACTTGTAACTGTAACTTTGTTCCCCAGCCTAGCCTCTAACCTAACCTAACCTAACTCAATCTTTGGTACATTTAGATATTGTTCAAATGATTAAGCACACACACACACACACACACACACACACACACACACACACACACATTTAACACCATCTGTGAGGGAATTACTACACCACATCAAGCTCCTCATAACACCATCTGTGAGGGAATTATTACACCACGTCAGGTCCCTCATAACACCATCTGTGAGGGAATTATTACACCACGTCAGGTCCCTCATAACACCATCTGTGAGGGAATTATTACACCACGTCAGGTCCCTCATAACACCATCTGTGAGGGAATTACTACACCACTATCCTCATAACACCATCTGTGAGGGAATTATTACACCACGTCAAGCTCCTCATAACACCATCTGTGAGGGAGTTACTACACTACGTGTCTGCTGATCAACACCTCAGCACACAAGATCTACGTGACCTCCACTGTAAACATTAATCTGTATGTTCCTTTACCTTTCTCTAATGAAAGCTTTTGTTAAACCACCAATGTATGTAATAAGTCATTTATGTCCAATGTATATTTTCAGCCTTCGGACTGCAAAACTTTTTATTTATTATTTTATTATTACACACACACACACACACACACACACACACACACACACACACACACACACACACACACACACACACACACTTTGCTGCGTGTCTTCAATGTTGTTTGTGTGTGTTGAGATTCAATAATATTTCCCAGAATCTCTGAGCTTGATTAAGGGAAAATATGAAAACACATGATCAGGTTACCTCGTAAAAGGCAGGGCTACAAGGGACGACCAGTACACTTAAGGAAACATTTCATTCCATCCTCTCATTGTTGTCGTGCTTGCTGGCAAAGTACACAGGAGCACATGTACACACTGGTTAAGTACACAGTAACATGTACACACTACGTACATATTAATACATATATACGCATGTCAAGTACACAATTATACATAGTTAAGTACATACTAGTATATATACACACGGTTGAGAATACACATTACTACATATACTCTTGCTAAGTACACAGTAATACATGTACACTCTTATCACAACAGTACAAAAGCAGATTAAATACACATGATTACTTATACACGTTTAACAAGTACACATGGGTACATATACACACTTGATTATGTACACAAAGTACTTAAGTAGCCATGTACCGTATACCTATGTAATAAATCTGTAACTGGACATATTAATACATTTAAGATTTATATAAAAAAAGTCCATTACAGTACAACAGCCTTATAGAGCACTTGCACTTTCACAAACCGTTAATTACATATACATTATTATACACACACACACACACACACACACACTGTTTACAATACCCCTGCCTCTCATTAAGCACAGGTGTAGGCAGGTGGGGTAGTAGTAATAATGAACACCTGTATGTATGTATGTATGTATGTATGTATGTATGTATGTATGTCTTCTACAGGTAACTAAATAACTCCAGGTATCCGGTAACTTTTAACCTTACGTAATGGAGGCAACGAAAGCATTATATATCTGAGAGGGTATAATAGGTCTTATTACACGAGATCTGAGGGTTAATAATCCTCTGCAGTGATTGGTAATGTGCTGATAGGCTATGAGGGGTCAGGCTAGGTGGGGTGGAGGGGAGGGTCAGGATAGGGGTGGGGAGGTCAGGGTAGGGTGTGGGGGAGAAGGTCAGGGTGTGGTGTAGAGAAGGAGGTCAGGGTGGTGGTGTGGGGGGATGATAGTGTTATGATGTATCTTGAGTTTTATCTATAAGGTCGGAAGAACCATTGAGTGTAAACAGTGGGATGAGCTTTAGTGATATGTGGGGGGGGGGCGTGGTGACGTCATAAGGTGTGGGTAGTTCTGGCTGAGAGAGAGAGAGAGAGAGAGAGAGAGAGAGAGAGAGAGAATTGACTTAGCTACTTTTATTTCCACATTTTTTTCTACATTGACTTTTATTTTGTTTTCTTTTATTAACATTTTTCTTTTGTTTCACTTGTGTTTATTGTTAAGTTATTCGTGTTGATGTTTGATGCTCAAATGTTTATTTAGTTAAACAGTTCGGCCCGACCTTTGGTAATACTGCACATCCCTTCTTCTTCTTCTTCTTCTTCTTCTTCTTCTTCTTCTTCTTCTTCTCTTCTTCTTCTTCTTCTCTCTCTTCTTCTTCTTCTTCCCTATCCTCCCCACCACCACACCTCCCCACTCACCTCCCACACCTTCCTGACCACCTCCCACTGGCGTACGTAACCCTGTTTTAATATTCCTTAATTACAGTTTTACTCCCATAAATAAATCAACAAAGATCTAACCCTACGATATATTATTTTTTATTCTAGGGGAGATGAGGGGGAGGAGGTGGGGTAGGGAGATAGGTAGGTGGGTAGAGGGGCTGAGTGAGAAGGGGTTGAGGGAGGGTGAGGAATGGATGGAGTAGGGGAGGGAAGGGGGTGAGAAGGTGTGGGATGGGTAGTGGAGAGTTGTGGGGAGGGGAGGGGGTGATGAGATGAAGGGGAAGGTTAGGGGGAGGATTTGTGGGGAGTATGATGGGGAGGGAGGAAGAGAGAGAGAGAGAGAGAGAGAGAGAGAGAGAGAGAGAGATATTCACAAATTGTTGACTTATGTTTTGGACACGAGTCATCATCATCATCATCATCATCATCATTATCATCATTATCATCATCATCAGGAAACAAAACCGCACCAACAAGTATCAAATTTAATCAAGATGAAAAACACTTACAATTACATCTATCTTATAAGACAAATATTCACACACACTTTGTAATGTTAATATAAAAACACAAACAGGTCCACGTAACCATATTTTTTTTTTGTGTTAAGCCACGTGAGTCAACTTTAAAGCAAACGTATCTAAAAATATACACTAGAATCGTTAGGTTTGGTTAGGTTAGGTTATGTTGTCGTTTGTGTTAGGTTAGGTTGTTGTTTTGGTTGGCGTTAGTTGTGGTTAGGTTATGTTGTCGTTTGGTTGGGTTAGTTGTTTCGTTTGTGGTTGGGTTAGGTTTGGTTAGGTTAGGTTATGTTGTCGTTTGGTTAGGTTAGGTTATGTTGTCGTTTGGTTAGGTTGGCGTTAGGTTTGGTTAGGTTAGGTTATGTTGTCGTTTGGTTAGGTTGGCTAGGTTTGGTTAGGTTAGGTTATGTTGTCGTTTGGTTAGGTTGGCGTTAGGTGTTAGGTTAGGTTATGTTGTCGTTTGGTTAGGTTGGGTTAGGTTTGGTTAGGTTAGGTTATGTTGTCGTTTGGTTAGGTTGGCGTTAGGTTTGTATACAATAACTACCTGTACACATCACGGTACAGGTGAGTTGGCAACACTGCTTCCATCACTCGCCCCCCCCCCCTTACCAACACCTTATCACAACCCTGTCCTAATTTCCTCAAACGTCAATGTAGCTCCTGGGTTCTATAAATTGAAGGTGATGGATTCCTCTCACTTGGTCAAAAATGTGGTATAAACCTTGAGGCGATAGAGAGGCAGCAAGCAGGTGAGAGGGAGCGAGGCTTGTCGTGTAGTGTGTAGGATAACATTATAATACCTATAATGAGTTTAAGTCACTGTGAAATATTCTCTGTTGCCTCATATTGCCTTCAAGGAATCTCTGTTGACAAGTAAAAAGTCGTGATCTTGATAAAAAAATGTGAGTGTAGACATCTTGGTTCATGTCTAACTTATCTCTCGTCTAAGGGCCTCATGTAAACACCTGGAGATGCTCTGTGTGTTGTGGGTATTAGTTTTCTTTATACAATCACCTGGCAGGTATAAGGGGGTAAACTTTATAAACAGATAATCTCAGGTGGATAATATTTTTCAAAGTGCCTTATACACCTCATAGGGTTTCTTGTATACATTTTGGGGGTTTAGTTTTCGTTCTTGATGTCGACTGTAAATATTTCAGGTTTCGTGGTTTTGAGTGGCACATCCCCATACGCTAAAGGAATGTTCATGGAGGTAGAAATACGAATGTTTATATATTTTTCCTAACTTTGTTCTTCCCGTGTTCGACAGAGAGAACACCAGTCGCTGTTCTCTCCTCGTTGTTTACCGTAGAATCAAAACATTCAAGACTGTGATGACTTCTCTGTGAGGAGCTCTGGTTACCTCCTGTAGGGGGAGGAGCTGCCCCTTGCGTTCCTCTTCCGTTCTTGTTCGGATTTTTCCTGAAGGTGCTCCTGGTATACCAGTACTCCGTCGGGGTCATCAGGCCCCTAGAAGATATGAGGTAACGTCAGGCTCCCAAAACACAGTAAATTGAGTCATAAAGCAACATTTACCTGCTAATGAACTTGGCATTGACCTCTAGTAACCTCTGACCTAACACTGACCTCTGGTAACCCTTGACCTGGCACTGACCTCTAGTGACCCTTGACCTAGCATTGACCTTTAGTATCCTTTGACCGAGCACTGACCTCTAATAACCCTTGACCTAGCACTGACCTTTAGTAACCTTTGACCGAGCACTGACCTCTAATAACCCTTGACCTGGCACTGACCTCTAGTAACCTTTGGCACTGGCCTCCTATACTTATGAGCCCTGGCACTGACCTTTAGTAACCCTTGACCTGGCATTGACCTCTAATGAACCCTTGACCCAACACTGCATCTAGTAACCCTTGACCTGGCACTGACCTCTAGTAACCCTTGACCTGACACGACCTCTAGTGACCCTTGACCTGCCACTGACCTCTGGAGAGTGTCGAGGGATACCCAGACGCCGCCAGCACCCAGTTTCCGTCTCAGCTGTTTGGATTCCTCGACCTTCACTGAGCACACCTGTGAGTGAGTAGGTTAGGTTAGGTGATCTCTCTCTCTCTCTCTCTCTCTCTCAGAAGCTAGAATGACTTTTTTGCTACAACTGAATAAAATAAATGTACACGATTACTTATACTTTAACCTTATTTCCGTATAACTGTAGGACACACACACACACACACACACACACACACACACACACACACACACACACACACACACACACACATACCTCCAGATCTGCCTCAGTTGTCTCTCTCTTTGGCGCGGAGTACTGAGGGCGTGTGGGCGTGCAAGGAGGCGTAGTGATGAGGGCCGTGTGTGGGTGAGAAAAGCAACCCCGTGGACCAGCTCTGGGGGCTATTGTCTTAATGGCGGCAGGGGCAGAGTTACCTGGAGGAAACACAGGTAGGTGAAGTAGGTGGAGGAGGAGGTGTAGTAGGTGGAGGAGGAGGTGTAGTAGGTGGAGGAAGGAGGTGTAGTAGGTGGAGGAGGAGGTGTAGTGGGTGGAGGAGGGTGTAGCAGGTGGAGGAGGAGGTGTAGCAGGTGGAGGAGGGAGGTGTAGTGGGTGGAGGAGGAGGTGTAGTAGGTGGAGGAGGAGGTGCTGTGAGTGGAGGAAGAGGTGTGTAGTGGGTGGAGGAGGAGGTGTAGCAGGTGGAGGAGGAGGTGTAGCAGGTGGAGAAAGGAGGTGTGTGGTGGGTGGAGGAGGTGTGGTGGGTGGGGAGAGGTGTGGGTGGAGGAGAGGTGTGTGAGTGGAGGGAGGTGTAGTAGGTGGAGGAGGAGGTGTAGTAGGTGGAGGGAGGTGTGGCAGGTGGAGGAGGTGAGGGTGTGGCAGGTGGAGTGTAGTAGGTGGAGGAGGAGGTGTAGTAGGTGGGAGGTGTAGCAGGTGGAGAGGAGGTGTAGTAGGTGGAGGAGGAGGTGTAGAATGGAGGAAGAGGTGTAGTAGGTGGAGGAGGAGGTGTAGCAGGTGGAGGAAGAGGTGTAGTAGGTGGAGGAGGTGTAGTGGGTGGAGGAGGAGGTGGAGCAAGTAGAGGAGGAGGTGTAGCAAGTGGAGGAGGAGGTGGGCAGGTCTAAGACTCCAGAATTCAATTGATTGATATAGTTATGTCCGTGCATTCTCCTCTCATCCCTCCCTTCCCCTCTCTTCCCTCTCCTCCTCCTTCCTCCTCTCCTCCCCTCTCTCTCCCTCTCCCGACTTCTGGTAAACAGCTAAGCCTCTCACCCTCTACCCTGCCTGGGCGTTGTGGCCTCGCTCTCGACCTCTCGTGGTGATGGCCTCCCCTCTCCTCGGCCTCGATCTCGTTGGCCTCTTCGTCCTCGGTAGACACGACCGCCTTGTCAGTCTGTATCCTGACCTCGAGATGCAGTCTGGTGGGGAGAGATGGGTCAGTGTTTGTGTGTGTGTGTGTGTGTGTGTGTGTGTGTGTGTGTGTGTATTGGTTCTGTGTCTGTCTGCCTGGTCCCGTGTTTCTCTTGTCCGTGTTCTTTGGTCCGTGTCAGTGTTTCCTACGAACGTTTAACATCTTGGTTATGCCGACACCAAAATAAAAAAAAATCCAATTTGACACGTACAGCCATATAGTTTTCTTCAATTTTTATCTATTTTTTTAAAGAATATTTCACAACAAATAACTTAACTTAAAATCAAAACAAAAACAGACTTAAGTAGATATGTGTGGAATAAACTTGTAAAAAAAAAATTCACATAAGATTATAGTTTCTCATTTGACTGAACCTGTTATGAGCTGGGCAGTGTCTTAGGTAAACACAATGTATATCGTTCGTTGTTTAACTTACAAACTTTTTTTCTTCTTCTTTCGTTACTCTCTGTCAAAGTTATCATCCGTATTTGTCTTCTTTAGTATTGAAGGGTTGGGTTGAGTTTCGGTTGGGTTGGGTTAGGTTGGGATGGATTATTCGGTTAACCTCGATTAAACTTGGTTGGGTTTAGTTCTGGGTTAAGTTACAAGGAAGATGAGTCAATGTTTGTAATAGATAGAGTAAATAAACTCCCAGCAGTCGCTCAACACCCCAAGTCAGTGGCGGCTCGTGCATAGGGCTGCAGAGCTGCAGTCCCCCCAGACACTCACTGCCAGGCGTATGATTCCTTTACAGAGACAGCTGAATAATACACTACCAACAAATATATCATTTTATATGTTATTTAATTATTTTCAATACGTTGCTAAGTGAATTTTCATTAAAATCAAACCAAAATTTAATTTACTTTCATAGTTGCTGTCAATGCTGTACGATTCATGTCTGTTATTAATTGGCGCCGCCGCCGCCGCACAATGAGCTGCACTTGAAGCAGCTCAGTCTCGTACAACGTGTGGACGGTGTGGTTAAATCGTGCTTTCTTTAATTACCCTTTGACGATGGAAAATCGAGTGAAGTATTTGCAAAACATCAACTTTTCCCAGCTGACATTAAATGAAAAGACTGAAATCAAAGCAAGATGAAGACCTACACCAGTTTTATCCATTCAACAGAACAGTACAAGCAGGAACAAAGAATATACACGCCAGTTTAACATGAGTGTTTATCAGAAATGTGAATGGCTCTGTGGTTGTGACGAGGCAAATACTTTATTCTGCTTTCCATGCTTATTGTTTGGTGGGGACTCGGCATGGACGAAAAGTGGTGTGACTGACTTGAGGCATTTGCCACAGAAAATAGTGAAACATGAGCAGTCAGCCAAACATATGAATAACATGATTAATTTATCGTTGCTTGAAAAAGACAAATTGAGAACTGAACTTACTGTACTGTACACAAGAGAAGATTTGTGTAAATCAGAAAGTCTCATAGACTTGTTGGAGATGATGAATGACAATAATCTACAGTCAACATTTTCAGACACTGTCAAGTTGCTGAAAATTTTAATAACTCCAATGACAACGGCAGAAGCAGAAAGGTGCTTTTCAACTTTGAAGAGAATTAAAACTTTTTTGCGCAGTACCATGGTGAATGACAGACTGTCTGCTTTAGCAGTGATATCCATTGAAAATAAAATGATAACAGAAATAAAGGATTTTAATGAAATAGTAATAAACAATTTTGCTACATCGAAGAGCAGACACGCGGACTTTATTTTCAATTAATACTGGTCCATCACCACCAACACTACTACCATGCCCTGGGAATTCGTGGACATCAACTACAACTCATACCTGAGGTAGGTCAAATTTGTGTATCCTACTGTTGTGTGAGGCTTGCAGTCCCTCCATTTTATTTTTCACGAGCCGCCACTGCCCCAAGTTATAAACGACAGAACAATGAAAACAAAAGACAATCGTGTTATGTTTCTACGAACGTTATTGATGGAGTTGTCTGGTAATTAACTCGTGAGGACAAAAGGTGATTCGTTGATTATTTCTTTTTATCCATTAACAAAGATTAAAACCACCATTAATTATTACGCTTATATGCTAGGACGAAAGACATTAATAGGGGTTGAATTAATCTCGTGGATACAATAAATGTTTATATGGTATCGGATTCGTTGTTATCGATTCTCTTTTGTTCTTTCATTTGTCCTGTAGTAGGGTTGGGTATTCTGGGCAGTGATGATGTACACTATTTTATTTGCGTCTATGTGCCCCGTGTACACCAACTAGTATATGCACATAGTCATATAATGTTACAGGTCACCCTTAATTATTTTACACACACACACACACACATTAAGTTGGGTTAAACTGTAGCGTTAGATTTGGTTAAAGTAGCGGTAGGTTAATTTAGGTTAAGTTAGCGTTAGATTAGGTTTGGTTTGGTTTGGTTAGGTTAGGTTTGGTTAGGTGCAACAAGAACTCACGCACTTACTTCTTCCCCTTCCACGTCTTGCTAAGAGGAGTGTACGTGTTGGCGTCGTTGATAATCGTACGCAAGAGTCCCCCGCGCGTCGGCATAAACAAACTCTCGTCGTGATCAGCACTATCGTCGTACCTCTCATGATCGTTCGTACGGTTATGGTGGTTAGTATCGACGATGTATTTACTATGGTTTACTTCATGGTCCAGATCACTTGCCACGGGACTAATTTCAGACATAATTGTTGGTATGTCTTTCTTTTTCACTTTTCTAACTACATTCGAGGTTAATTTAGGTTCAGTCTTGGATTTGGTTTTCTTTTTCGTGTGGGTCTGTACTTGTGTAGTTTTGGTTGACGGTGATGGCGTCTCGTGCTTTTTATTTTTATTCTTCTTCGATTTGTTTTGTTTCTTCTTTGTGGTGTTTGAGGGAGGATGGTGAGTCACTATGCTCTCCTCCTCTTCGCCCGACACCATTACACTCTGGTCACTGTCCGGCTGAGCGTTCACGACGATGTTCAACTGGATCTTCTTCTTGTTGGCACTGCTGACTCGCTTCCTGTTGGCGGAGTGTATTCGTTGCTTCAGGACGCTCCGGGTCTTCTTGATGATGTCCTTCTCCGACTCGCTGAATTTCTGGAGGGTGTTTTCCACTCCCAGGTCCGGCTCTCCTTGTGACGACCTGGAGGAGCGTCTCGATAATGGGGGTCTTCGAGGTTTGGTAAACATTTTGCTGAAGGGAATGAAGCCGAAGCCATTTTTGGTCTTGTATCCTCGAGGTATGTGGTCCTCCTGAGTTTCGGATGCGTTGTCTTCTTCGTCTGCCTCGTCGTCTGCTTCCTGTAGATACGGATCTTCGTTTTCTTCAGGAGAAATAAATGGAGCTTTTTGGATGATTAGACCGTCGTAACGCTCCAGGTGTTGCTTACTGTTACCTGTGTGGTGTGGCCAGGCGCTGTGTTTGTTGGCTCCTGTCGAGTAGAAATCTGGAGAAGAGGCTGACCGGATCACCTTGGTGGAGCTCCTGCTGCTGTCGTTGTCTGCGCCTGTCCCCTGAGGCTTAAGCTCGCGTTCATCGGTGGTGGCAGACGAAGGTGTTGTCTCCTGTTCCAGGCTGTGAGTCCTTGAAGGCTGAGGTTTAGTGGTGCGGGCAGGAACAGCCTCGTCCTCGGCGGGGACCAGCGAAGACACCGGCGTGACGCAGCTCTTAGGTC